GCAACAAATCTGTTGTAACCGCTTTGTACCACAGCAGTGCGGCGAGTGTTTGTCGTAAGCGGGGCATTTAGGGTGCTATGTGTGTGCTATATAGTGCTGTACTTCAATCGGACTCGAACAACTGCAATCTATTTCAAGGTGTTAATAACACCAACAATGATAAGGACTTTGTGTTTTATTTCTGCAAACGAAATGATGTACGATATCAGTTATAATTTGATAAAGAAAACATCACCTTGCGTTATTCACAGCTACAGCCACATCTAATTTAAGACTTAAGGGTTCTAGTGGATTGAGTTTTTAAGAACTAGTTTATTTTAATGAATGCACAGCTCTAGGATCTGTTGTGTGTTTGTGTAACTGCGTGCTGGTGCATTAGAAAAAATAGATGCTAGACAATGTAAGCAACTCATTGCTAGAGGCTGTGCTCTCTGCAGGTACTTGTAAATACAAGCAAAGTGCGTTTAAAAGCAAACTGAAGTGCGGGCATCAGGCTTCGGGCATCAGGTATCAGGCAGTCCCAATGTCCAGCATTCAACTCTGATGTTTGACTTTATGCACGGGACATTTCGCTTTAATGCTGCATAATCACCAGACAATTTCATTTCTCACATTTGGCCGGGGCCATTGTCTTTGTTTTGTTTGTCGCTCCCACTCCCAGATCTTCACTTACTTCATGCTGTTAGCTGTCCTCGTTGGCTTTTCTGCGAATGTCAACAGTTTTGCAGTAGCGGTAAATGCAGCACGCAAACCCATAAACGCACAAACATGGCGAGTGTGTGTGAAAGTGTGTGTGTCTGTGAGCTTGTGGGAGCAAGGCGTATGTGTTTCGGGTCACTTAAGTTTTATGTTGCGAAACGCGTTACCAAATTGCGTTCAAATTGCGCACGCAGATAACAGTTTTTCATTACGGCACATAAAAGCTTGCCGCGATGCGCCTCGTCGCCTTCCCACCTCCTCACCTCCTCGTCGTCTTGCTTTCGTTCTGTGCACAAATTGCTACGGCGACACGTGATTCACTTTGCAGTCAGCCAGCAGTGTCTATATGAGTAGCAGCAGGAGGTAGCAACAACGACAACCCTACGGACTGACATTACCAAGCAACAGGCGCATTGCGATGACAGAGATGACGATAGCTTTGGCGATGGCGATGTGGCAATGGAAATGGTGAAGGCGACGCTTTGTCCAGTTTATGGCTGTTCGTGCACTTAAATTTCACTGGTCATCGTTGTCACACATTTGAACTCTGCATCCGCCATCGCCATCGCCATCGCCATCGTCGTTGTCATGTGACAGGGGCCTAGGCACTTAAGCTGAGATGCGTGATTCGTAGATGAAGCAGTCATCCCAAATTCCTTACAGTCCCATATATAATAAACGAAACTTCCTTAAAATGTTTTCTTTTCATCTCCGTGAAACCCAAAAATGGAGGAAAATACATTTACAAATTTCAATTACAGTTCAAAAATAATTATACTTCTACAAATACAAATATAATTCAAAAATACAGTAGGTTATATTATGTAGCCTAAAATAATGTTCCTACTATCTTTATGTTCACAGGTGCATACTATACAGCACGGGACCTATTCACGACCAGAGGTTGGGAGAACTTGTATGGAAACAAACTAATGTATCAATTTCCAAATTCATTCTAATTTTATGCCTGAAATTCCTTCAGTATTTATACAATTTTTGTCTTATTTACTAGTTTTTTCTTATGTATTAATAATTTAATATTTGGCTCTTTCTTATTCTCTAAACATTGTAATTACTCTAATTTTACATTTTTTGTCTTATTCTATCCTGATCGTGTCAAGTGATTTATCCAAGTGGTTCATATGTATATTTTGAAGCCTTTTCCTTATGTATGCACCCACCCTTGAGCGCTATCGTGTGCCTATTTCTATATACGTTTCTTGCGTTGGTCTGCTGCTGTACTGCATGTGGATATTTTTAGCTCGGGATTTCTGGTAAGCCTACCTACATGATCACATTCTTTATGATAGTCTCTGAAACCTTCTGAACACTTTAGAACTTAAAATATCGAAAAAGGAGCTAATTTGTTTGTTTCAAATGGTCTTTCATGTTACAGATTTAAATGATTTCCAAAATATATGCAATATATTAAATATTCCAAAATCAACTATATGGCTAAAATAAATTGATTTTTGCGTTTGGTGGCAATAGGTACTTTTAAACAATATTATTTACAAGCTTCATGAACTTAATATATCAACATGAAAATAGAGTTTATTACGTTTTAAATAGATTCAAATTATTTTTAACATTCATAAGATTTCTAATCTATTCATCATTTATTCATTTATTCGTGAATGTATGAAATAAACTTTTGAGTCCGTACTAAAAAAATTTCTATCAATCTAACTACATTACCTAATGAAGTTGTTATTCGTTTATGGCTTTTATATGTAATACAAGCGCATTATAAATCCTGCAAATCCTGAAAACAATAACATTCTTAGTTTCCGGGTTGGTCCTAATTTCTTCACAAAGAGGTTTGTCTGTAATATGCCGATTATTTACTGCCGCTCATTTAAGCGCTGGCGCCACTCACTCGCATGTCAGACAATAACAACAACAACAATAACAACAACGACAACGGATGAAGTCAAGTTAATTTTTCAAATGCCTAAGCGGCCGGAAGTTGGCGCTGATTTAAATATGTCGCGGCATGGCATAAATATCGCTGCCACAAAACGCCAGAAAAGAAGCTGCTAATATGCTACATATTCAGTGTCTGATTCGGATTCGGATTGTGTTTCTGTTTCAGTTTTATTTTCTGTTTGCTCAAGCAAAAAGAGATTGATGGGAAGTGACAGGGGAGGGGGAGAGGGTGCGTGTGGGAAGTGGCTTGCTACAATTTGCCAACGCCAAGTTTTAGTCTTGTATTGTGTCTTGGCATGCGAAACTCGACTTACGGCTGCTTAAGTACGCTGACAATGAAAAAGTTTTGTGCTTATCATGCGTGCAAGTTTTGTCGACGTTTTAATTGAAAAATACTTAGCAAACTTCTTGCATAGTAGTCTCCTTAGGTATAGGTAGAGCTATAGCTATAACAGAGTCTTAGCTGCCTCGTCTAAGTTCAAGAGAGTGTCAAATGGCAAGTACTTGGCAGTTGCTTCCAAGTGCACCTGAGAAGCGCGTAAGGTGTGAAGCTTACTGCACAGCTAACCGAATAGCTGGAGTAGCAATAACAACAACTATACCTTCGTCATCTTAGTCAATATATTTCACTCAATTTTAATTGCTGTGTAAGAAGAGTTGAGACAGCAACAGCAACAGCGGAAAACTCTGTCTAATAAAGTCAGCTGTCCCACTAACCTATAATGCAGCTTGAATGCTCTTTTCTACATGCCACAGTTTGCTCTTTGGCTGTGCAAAATGTTGCTCTTAACAAAGTGCTGGGAGTGCGGAACATCGCACTTTTTGCTCTTAGAAGTAAAAAACGAAAATAGGACCTGAAGCTTGAATTGCGAAAGTTTCTTGACGTTTTTTAATTTTGCCAGGATTATGGCCGGCTACGTTTAATTTTAAGGCAAGCGTGTGTGCTTGTACGTTGGAGTAACTTTGACGTGTGCTCTGCTGGGCAGCCCTTTCGCTTACTATATAGATATAGGAGTATATATGCCAGTCGGGCTTGGCACGTCCAAGCGGCTGGCGGCGCACGTTTCGCTGTTCTTATTACGCGCTCATAAAAACAAACGGCTGGTTGGATTATTTCCATTAACTTGACGCTGCAACATGCGCTGCGTGATGTCTTTAACGACAGTGCACATGGCACTGGCACTGGCTATCAGACCAAATTTCTAACCATGACCCCCGCCGACGCTTGTCACTGCAATAAAGTCGGCAACAAATTGTTTGGCTGCGTGTTTTTAATGTGGTGGCCCTCTATAACCCTTTCTTCTGCTTCTTTTTGCCTTTGCGTACAGAACATTTTGACACGCACGTGTCGAAAAGCACACACTAATGCAGCGTAAATTTTTAAGTGATTAAAAAAGTGTCAGAAAGACAGGTAGCTAGCTGAAAAAAAAAAAACAAAAAAGAACAGAAGCAACAAAAAACGTTTAAATGCGAAAAACGTGCAAAAATTAATAAGAGCGAATGAGAAATTTCAAATTTTGAATTGCAAGTCGGTTGGCGCGTATCAACACGAAGCAACGTGGAACAGGCACAGCATCCACATTTATATCCGGATCCACATTCAATTCCCATACGTTCCCAGCTGTTTCATTCGCTTCGTTTTGTTTCTTTTCGTTCGTCTGCTCGTGCATAGACGCTCGTTTTTGTAGCATACTTTTCGAGGCGCGTGCTTCGGGTTCTTGTGGCGTCGTTCGCCGCCTTTTGCAATCAGTTTGCAAATGTCTTTCGTGCGGTTCGGTTGTTCATTTATATGACTGCGTCGTTCGACTAGTTCGCGCCCAGGGAACACTTACCATAGACACAGAGACAAACACACCCGAATACCCATTTACCTATACCCATTTACTCGTGTAGCCAATGCCCAAAAGTAAACAAAAACAACAACAAAGCTTCCGGAGCCCTGTGTGTGTTTGTGCGCCAGCAAATCCAACGCGTTCGAAATGCAATGAAGTTTAACAAATTTGCCGAGCACATCAACAATAACAACAACGACAATTGATGCAATTGTATTATATTGTATATACATATATATATAAATATATACCCTAATCAACAAAAAACAACAACAACAACAAGAGTGACTATGCCGGCGTCCATTACACGAGTCAATGACGAAAGCATGCAACATCAGTTACAACATTTGCATCGCCTCACAACCTAAAATATATACACATGTATATTTTCCCCCGGTCAGTATTATAATTTGCCCCGATACTTATATACTCAGCTAACAGCTCACGTTCTGCATACCAAGCCAATTGATAATCAAAAAAAAAAAAAAAAAAATAAAATATATATATATAAAGAGAAGAGGAGAGAAAAAAGTTATAAAGAAAACCAAAACCATAAGCATAACCAAATCAGAAAAAAGAAGGCTGCAAGACTTGAGACAAGAATTGGCAGGCAGGCAGCTCTTTGAAGTCGAGGTCTGTGGCAGTGTGTGCATGAGTCTGTGTGTGTATAGCTTGGTGTGCAGCAAAAAGTGTGAAAAAGCGCAAAATAAATATTAAAAGCAAAACGTGCGTGGATTAGAAAGCATAACGCCAAAGTACAACAGCAACGCTAATAGCAGAGCCAACACTCGACAACAACTACAACATCATCAATCGTCCGGCAACAGAATTGAAACAGCTGCTGCAGGAAGCCGCCGGCACAGGTTGGTAGAGTTTCTCCATCTCTCTCTCTCTCTCCCTATTGATATATATGTAGCTTCCATATATATGTACAAGTATATATAGTTGTTGCGAGTCCTGCTAGAACGGTTCAATGCGCTTTATTATCAGCTTCTTTTATTTTTATTTGAGCTGTGACCGCCATGCAGGTTCGTGCCTTTGGAGCGGACCAGCTGCCTTTGGCCCATTTGCATTTTCATAGACGTGGCGGCGACGGAGGTGGCGTGCGCGCTCGCGCATAATTTACGCTAACTTTTATTTTGCCATAATTTTTTTTATTACGCATATTGGTTTCACCAGTAACTCACACAATCCCACCCCATCCCCCTTGGGTCACACTCGAACCGCTGCCGTGCTTCATTTGAATTTCGAATTTAGTTAAGTGGGGCGCGTACATAGACAGATAGACATACCAACAGACTGACGAATAGCGGGCCATATGGCCATGGCTAGCTCATCCACATGAGACGAGTGGGTAGGTGGGTGTGCACACCTGCCGAAACCTTGCGTAAACATATGTATGTACCAACAATCGGTTGACACCAAAGTGTGACTCCCATCCGCACACCCCTCGCTCATCAGGCCGCCATGTTGATTTATGACAATTGAAGCCAGCAACGCTGAGCCTCGAATCTCGAGCCCCCGAGCAGTGAGCAATGAGTAGTGAGCAGTGAGCAGTCAGCGCCACTGAACAGTGTGTGTGCGAACTTTCAGCTTCAACGCGTCGACTGTTAGCCCAAATGCCTGCTATTTACATACACAAGTAGCTGCGCACACAATTTCCGTCCAAGTGGAAACTAAATAATTATATGGCTCAGGTTGTGCAGCTGAAATATGCCGAAAACCTGCTCTCCACAAACATACTACATATGCCTATCTGTGTGCGTGTGCGTGTGTGTGTGTACGGGTGAGAGTGTCTGGTCTGAGTTTAACGAACATTTATGCTTGTGCGCTTGTTTATGCTGAGCTCGAGTTATGTGGCACTTACGAGGCGCGACAGTCAAGCTTTATACCTACATGATCGTATATGTAGCACATTTGCTTGCCGCACTCATACGCCGTGTGGTACCGTTGGCATTGCCATTACTGTAGTCATTGCTCTGGCTGTTGCCAACGTTGCACATGCCACACGACGCATGCCGCACACCGCACACCGCTTGCCACATGTCGCATGTTCATCAAGAATGAATTAAAAGTTATTTTAAATTCGTGACACTCGCCTAATTTTGTATGTCTGAATGTCACTTTGCTGTTGTACCGCTCCTTGTTTTAGTTGTTGTTCTTGCTGTTTTTATTATTGCACTCGAAAGAGGGCTATTCGATTGTTGCTCGTGTACGAAAAATATTTAGTAAAGATGTTTTTGGAGATCAAAAGATCGTTTCTTGTGAAGAATTATATTGAAAATTACAAATTTAAGAACATAAATTATTCATTTAAGTCTATGGATGGAAAAGTTTAGACGAAATGAGAAGTGAGTTCCTGTGAATATAAAATATTTGCAAATAAAAAAAAATTGGTGGAGAACTATGTATATACATTTTGAATATTCTTAATCGTTTTTTAAAGTATCATTAAATATTTGTTAGAAAGCTTAATAGATTTAATAATTAAGTTTTTGGTTATACTTGTATATTGCTAAATCAGATTACAATGAGAGATTTTTTGCATTTGCTTCAGGGTGTTTAATCAAAGTCGACTAAAGTCCATATTTGAATTTGTTGAAGTAAATATTTCGGATCCTGTTTTTGCAAAAAAGATAATAAGACAAAGATTGACTGCAAAAGAAAAGTTTATGCAGAATTGATATATTAATATAATAAAATGTGTTTTCAAACCGTCTCTTCTTATCTGCAATCAAAAATGACAAGAATAATTATTTCTAACCATTCATGGCACAATTCCTTCACCCGTACTGCCATTGTATTTGAATTTGTAATCAACCATTGGCTTTATGAATTAGTTATTGGTTGTGAGTGGCACGCGCAAAACCTATAATGATTTCATAACTGCTGGCCAGAGTGTATAAAACATATTTATAAGTGTTATTGCTGCTGACCCTAAACAGCAGAGTGAACTTTTACCCAATTTCAGGTTTCTAGCTCCAGCTATTTCAGCAGAGTACGATGAGAGAAATGAGATGAAATAGTTATATACTTGTACAAGGCTTTGTGATTGGTTTCTATTTAATTACTACGCAATTAAATTTCTTTTAAAATGGAGGGCAATGGGATATACTTATTACACCACCCTCGTTGTTGCTATTTCTACTATTGTTGCTGGCTCCCAACAATCTGCAGAGTTGCGTCTGGGCTTTGAAAAGGCCAAGAGTGTTGGCAATTTGGCAGTCAGGCAGGTAAGGCAGACAGCTGACACCTGCCAGACATAGCTGCTAGCTACATTTGAGTGTGCCACACTCACACACTCCTACATAAATTTAAATATTCACATACAAGTACACACACACACACACACACACAGGCACGTGGCGAATTGCACACCAGGCGGCAGCTCTCGCAAGTGAATTAAATTTGAAATGTTTCTTAATTTACTTTTTCGGTTTCGCGTTGACAGTTCAAATTGCTATAACAAATTTTCTAACGTTACGCATGCCATTCATTCATTTCGCTCGCAAACACACACCCCGTATATGTATATGGGCGTATATATATATATTTATATGGCGCCCAGCATAAGTGAAATATTATGTACAACTGTCGAGTTTGTTTTTGTTGCTTTGCGCACTTTTTTCCTGCCATGCTTTTTGCCTTTTTATTCTCTATGCGACTTTTTTCGCCAAAATAAATGAAGCCATTCGAGCGCAATCAGTATTTCGCATTAAAGCAACACACACACATCACATCTATATGTATATATATTCGCACACACATTTCGATTGGCACATAGGATATATATGGGACACGCATGGGAAAGCGAATATCGGCAATGCTAGCTCGCTACGTGAGCGTAAAATACCAAACTGTACCTTTGCTGAGCTTGCAAAACAGCAGAAACAACAACACAAATAGCAACCAATACAACAACAAGTGAAGGCGGAAGAAAACAGATAGGTACTCGAATTCGTTTTTGGGCGCGCTTTTTGATGGCTTCATATTTTGTGTTAGGTTCCGCACAATGGGCCAAAAATCAATGAAAATGCTTAAGCTTAATGGAGTATTGCGGTTCCAATTCTTCGAATGATAATGAAGAAAAGGTGCTTCCGGCTTGTAAGAATAATCTTCATTTCCCAGTTTTGTCGTGTATGCTTATAATTTAAAAAAAAAAAGATTAAATTGTGTTATTCAGTGGATGTCCAGATGACAGTAGTAAGTATTTATAAAAATACATTTCGTGAAACCTGCCCAATCATTGTAATTATATATAATTTGATCGGCAGAATTGAAGTAGAATGGGAGCCTTTAAAAGGCAACACACAATTCCTCATGTACTTTTGAAACAAATGTTTATGTATTTAGACCAACTGATAACATATTTGTTTGTAAAGGCAAGACTTAAATAGACATGTTTAAATCATAAAATGTTTTGTTCTTTATTCGTTATTTGAAATAGCTATTTACCATTAATTTAAATTTATATTCGTTCTAATTGTTAGAGAAGGTGTTAATTTAATCGAAAACCTACCAAAAGAATCTGATCTAATATTTGAAAATTTATTTAGACTTAGCAAAATAGCTGTAAATGCTATAATTTCATTTATTATTTTCATATCATGTCATGCAAATTCATGATCAAAATAAACTTGAAAATTATTTCAATGAGAGAAATTTTGTTGGGAATGACTGCCTTTTTAGCCAGCGTATTTATTTGTTTACTAAACTAAGTAATTGGTAAAACATATTTGTTTGTGTGCTGACGCAATGTTCAGGCCAAACGGTACGATATGTCTCCCGCTGTTGTAACACAAATCTTTTCATTTGACTTTTCATACAAAATAGTAAAGTAATAAGAAGAGTTGAGGCCACAGAGCTATAGCTTGTCGATTTCACATCGCATAGGAACATTTAATAAATAAATAAGAAGAGTATGTTTCCAAAAATCGTCCAGAATATGTGTAAGTACATGTAATTAATACGGATTTTCTGAAGATATTTCTTTTTGTACAAGTATATCTTAAAAGCTGCATGAGCAAAAATGTACTAAAATTTTGAAGACACCCAAGGATGTTTCTTTATACGCGCAAAGTACATTACAGCCATTGTCTAATGCCTTTTCTGTTCGAGTACATTTGAGAAGCGCATAGAATGGCAACAGAAATTAAGTTGATTTTAATGTTGCATACCTCCCGACTGAAGCGCAAATCCTTTGGGTGCAGTCGAGCTCAAGCGTTCGCGGCAAGTGAAACTTTTACGCTCATCAATGCCCAAGTGTCAGTGTTTCAGTCTGTCTGTCTTCCTATCTGTCTGTCTGCTGTCTGTCAGTTGGAGCTCTTCGACAAACCGTTTACAGCTAACTGAAAGCAAACAAAATTGCGTGTAAAATAAATAAGAGCTTCAACGAAAAGTTTGTTCGTTTTTTCTTTACCAGCTACTGTTTTTGCAACGCGTTGTTTTTCAATCTGGATTTTTTTTGGAGTGTTCTCTAGCGCAAATAAAAACTATGCACAAATTGAACTTAAATGTAGTGCAACTCAATTACAACTTATTTCAGCCGTTACGCTTTTTTACGCTTCGCAAGCCGTGGCTTCGCCCCGCTCCACCGCTTATTTCTCGCAAGGATTATTATCCATGCATTTCTTAAACAAATGCGTGCTACATTTTTTCTCCTCTTTTTTTTTTTGGTTCGTTCTCTGCTTTACTTTCTTCTGTTCTTGTTCCTGTTGCTGTTGCTGCTGCGCCATTTCTTTGTTTTGATGTCGCACTTCTGTCATCCGCAAAAAATGCTTCAACGAAATGAAATTAGTGTCAAAACGTTGCAACTACAAGTGGCGCGTCCGTCGCTTACTCTCTTGCTCTCCTTTTTTGGCCC